TTACCCCCCCCTCCACACACACACTCTCCCCCCTCATCTGCTGTGGTCCCAGCCCCTGCCAAGTCGATGATCCCTCGGACCCACGAGAGATGGACGGACACCCGACGATGACGTAATTAGGATGGAAAGCGCAAAGAGAACGCGCCGTAAATATGACCCAAGAGAGCTTGAATGTGACGCAAGACATGTTTATAATTATTTTGTGAATCGACTTTCGATCGACGCTAGATGCTATCTTATTCGAGGTGCCCACTACGGCTGGAACGGGCCGACTCGGTCGCCTGAAACTGACAACAGACACGTTTGTTTTTGAGGCGACCGAGTCGGGCGATCGGGCTCCCATGGTAGTGGGCACTGGGCACCCCGTATTAGATAGTGTAAGCCAATGATTGCAGAGAGATAGGTCTGTGGGATATAAGCTGGGCTGTGAGCGGCCTGAAAGTAACCACGGTTTCACTAAGACTAAGAGTAAAATAAACGAATGAATTTGGTTTGAAAGAAGATAAAAAAAGAAGCGGGCGCTCAAGAAGGTTATTATTAGCGGACTGTGATGGTGTAAAACCAAAGATACTCCAATCTTTGGTTAATCCGTTTGAGGTAAAGGCCCAGAGTGGGCGAGAAGAGGCTGTAATAAGTTTGTATATAAAAAACACCCTTAAAAAAACCCAACCTGTCCCCAACTCTCCCTTTGTCTCTCCCCGTCTCCCACTTTCTTTCTCTCTCCCTGTCTCTCCCCCTCTCTCCCTGCCCCCTCCCCCATCTCTCTCTCTCTCTCTCTCTCTCTCTCTCTCTCTCTCTCTCTCTCTCTCTATCTCGCTACCCATCTTATCTCTCTTCACCCTCCCACATTCTCTTTCAAATCAAGCCACCGAGAACACTAAACCATTGGACTTCAGAAAAGGTTCACGGCACTTCCGGGTCAATGCGTTTAAGTTTCGATTAAATAATTACAATTACGTAAAACTGAAGAAACGGTCTTGGAACTATTTCACACGCTTACAGTAACGACCAAGCCCTTGGTAAGAGTTTTAGAGAAGTTTCAGAAAACTCCATACTATATCTGATCAATTTGTGAATAAAAGCATCATTTTTTCCCTTTCACAGTTTGCTTTATAATTGATAACAGTAGTTTTTCGTAATTGTTTCTAACAGGACTTGTACAACAAGCAGGCCATACAAGTGCCGCAGATGAGAAGTGCTCCCTCCTTGAGTGTAAGATGCAAAGAGATGAAGGAGGAGTGATAGGGGCGACTGGTTTATTATAATAATAACAATAATAATAATAATACTAATGATGATGATGATGATAATGATGATTATGATGATGATGATGATGATGATGATGATGATGATAATAATAACATGACATAACAATAATAGTGATAATACTGATAATAATAACAATAA